TTGAGGCTTTGAAACTGCTTCAGTAATTATGGGGGTGCGAGAACTTGAACCTTGGAAGAGCTGTCATCAATCTTCTCTCAAAAAGCTAAGGGTACTGCAGTAAGTGCAGCCTAGAGCCAAAGCTGATTTGTAATGAGAATTCCTAGTTAGAACACGTGAAATAACTATTTGTAATAAAATCAATGAACAAACAACCTTTGTAAAGTATTAGAGTTGTATCTACCTTAACAATGAAGCAGAATAGAAGCAGAAATTCTATGAAAGAAAAGGCTGGTGGTCTAATGAGGCAAATACTACTCTGGATGATTTATCCTGATTTATCAGGAAGATCTAATCATCTAGGATGCTAAATCTGCAGTATAAAACCAAGCATGTGTTTCAAAGAGTATGTCTACTCTACAGGAACGACACAATACAACGATGGCACAAACACATAATGCATAACACAAATGCAGCCTACACAAATGGAAGGGGTTTTCCTGTCGCAGTAGGAACACCATCTTCCTGAATGACAGTAGCTAGGTGAACAGAAATATTCTTCCATCAACCTAGCTGTGCCTACACTGGGGGTTAGGTCAGCATAGCTACATAGGTCAGGGATGTGGATTTTTCACACCTTGACCTAAATGTTAAGTGTAAAGAGGCCAAAGTAATAAGTTAGGCCACTTCCTTTAGCATTACCTTCAATACCTGGAAAATCATCCACTAATGAATTAGAAATGAGAATGCAAGTAGAGAAAACTGAACCAGCATGAAAAGCAGCTCAAAAATTTGAAATAGGGTAAATTCCATGTATATATTCAATGTGTATGCTTAATTTGAATGTAAACAGAAGGCCAAGCCACTAGCTATAAGTTTCACAGCTTACTGGAACCGGCAGTCAATTCCGTGGTTAATAACAAAAGACAAGGCTGTGACATCGTTATAGTTGTAATTAATTTACACAGAGTGACTTCTGGTTAATCAAATGGCTCTTTAAAGGATTTAATGATTTTTCATTTGTAAAGCAATACGAAGCTTTGTTAACTGAAGAAACAAAGTTTTTAATTTGTTATGAAAAGATATTTAAGGAATATGTTTCTAAAAAACACACACTTATAATACAGCCGCTACTATCTTGTTCACAAGAAACAAGACAGGCAGGAATGCCAACACAAAATTAATACAGTTAGGTACAAACAACAAAGACTCTTTCCTAATAGCTTTGGCCCAAAATTTAGGTTTAATTTAAAAAAATTGAATAATAATGATAAATAATATATCTTATAAAATGTAGTGGAAATTTTGTAATTATATTTTAGAACATTTTCACAGTAGTTTATTTTAAACTTGCTTCTGCAAAGTATTTGAAACATACAAGTCCAGTTTCATTGTCCTAGAATATTTTAAAATAGCAAACAGAATACACTTTGAAAAAATAAGGCCATGTCTACACTGCAGACTTTACAACAGCACAGCTGCACCGCTGCAGCTGTAAAGTCTCTCCTGTAGCCACTCTATGCTGGCAGGAGAGCTCTCTCCCGCTGACATAATTAAACCACCCCTAAGGAGCGGCGGTATCTGTCAGCGGGAGAGCATCTCCAATTTTAAAAACACAAATTTTTATCCCTTAACTTTGATATCCTATACTTAAATTCACTGCATCCATATCTGACCAATGATTTAAAATCTATTTAGTGGTTATGAAAGTTACCTGCCTTAGCAAGCGATGTCTCGTTAATCCACAGAACAGGTACACAACATACACACAGCCAACATAAGCTTTCTCAAAAGACTACATCAACATGATTCAGTCGTAGGCATGGTCCACACTACAGAGTTAGGTCGATGTAAGGCAGCTTACTTTGACCTAACTCTGTAAGCATCTATACTATAATGTAGCTCCTACCGATTTAAGTCACCCGCTACATCGACTTAGTAACTCCACCTCCACAAAAGGCATAGCTCTTCAGTCAATGTAGTTAGGGTGATGCAGTGTCAGCACAGACACTGCATTATTTACATCGTCTGTTGGCTGTCAGCTAGACACACACAAACCCCTCCCTCCCTGCGCTGACTGCTCTGCCTCGAGGGCCCCCCCCCATCGCTGCCCTACATTGACAGCCCCACATTGAGCTCACAGCTGGAGGCCCCCGCTGCCCCACACTGACAGGCCAAGCTGTCAGCCCTACACCGGGGCTTACACAGAAAAACAAGAAAAGTGAATAGCTTGCATCTCTTTAAAGTAATATCTCCTCTCTGACCACTTTTTGGTCAGACTGCCAGAATCACTTGCTCTCTAGATAACCTTTCTTTAGCTCTCCACGGACACATATGGGGCTGGTCTACGTTAGGACAACCCAGTTACGCCCCTCAGGCATGTGAAAAATTCACAGCTCTGAAAGACATAGTTAAGCCAACCTACGTCATGGAATCCTTCTGTCAACTAGCTACTATCCTTGGGGAGGTGGATTTACTACAATGAGAGAACCCCTTCCATTGCTGTAGTGTCTACACGGCAGCTGTCCCGGTGTATCATTTCTAGTGTAGACAAACCCTTAGACCAGTTCTACACTTAAAGTTTTACCTACATAGCTATAACATAACATGTTACATTCTATTGGAAGAATGAGTAGAGATGAGAGGGAGTATTATTATGCTTGACGCAGTAATCAGGTCCATCAAACAGTTGTTTGATCTATAGACAACTGAAGACGTGCCTGAATCTGTGACTAATCAGGAGCTCTATGTCTCCTTCATTTTTGGTTTTCTCACTGCCCCCTCAAATCAGCTGGGTTCTGGCCATCGATGCCCTGAACATTCCCTGAAGTTTTAGAATCAGTTAGATGCCACGTCTACATACGTGTAGAAAGACAGAAAACTTAATCCTGGGATGAGAATATTAATCCCCTGCCCAGTTTTCCCGAATTTTCTGAAGACAAAGTAGCGCAACAGAGTTTGATAAATAGTTTCAGTATCCACTTCCCAAGAGATGGTCCACTGAGAAAGAGAAAACCTGTAACAATGATTAATGGCCACTTTCCAAAGGTTTAGACAGGAGCATGTCTACAAACATACTGGGTAGAGTTAGAGTGCTACCGTCCCACTAGAGTGGACAGAGTTATATTAGCATAAATGTGCTTATACCAGTATATCTTATTTGCATATAAAAACAGAATAAACGATATCTGTATAAATTCATTTATATCAATATAACCGCATCTATAATGGGGGACTGTATAGTACAGTAGTATACCTTTTGTGTGTTGATAAGCCCTCAGACACCACCTTTTAGGGCAGTATCCAGTTTTGGTCAGACCTCTTACGGCTTGTCTTCACGCAAAAATCGTACCACTTTGCAACTATAGTAATAACTCCTTGCTTAACGTTGTAGTTATGTTCCTGAAAAATGCGACTTTAAGCAAAACGATGTTAAGCGAATCCAATTTCCCCATAAGAATTAATGTAAATGGGGGGGTTAGGCTCTAGGGAAATTTTTTCCACCAGACAAAAGGCTATATATATATAAGAAATAAGAAATGCTATATGGCATTTTATCTACTTCTTGTTTCTTTTTTTTCCCCTTCAATGCTATTAGACAGCCTGTTAAAAATATTAATTACATTTTAAAAATGAGACATCTGTCATAACTTGTGATGTAAAAATGTAGTATAAAAAAAACTTCCAGCTAAAATGTTTAAATAATTTGTCAACATTCTTGTACTTCACTGAGGTAGAACTCACTGTGAACACAATTTAGTAGCCACACAAACTGATGAATCCCATCACACAACAAGGACCTAAAACTCAAGGGCCAGTTTCTGTACCAAATTTTGGTAAAATATTTAGTATTTGAAGGCCCACACATAAAAGTCTCCTGCTTTCTTGTTTCATGTCCGCCACTGACTTGCTAAACAGTCTTGTACAAATTACAATCTCTCTTCCTCAGTTTCCCTATTAGTAAAATGGAGAAATAAAATAAAATAAATAAAAGGAATAAAATACAATCATGAGTGGTGTGAAGAAAGTAAATAACGAAGTGTTATTTACGCCTCATAACACAAGAACTAGGGGTCACCAAATGAAATTAATAGGCAGCAGATTTAAAACAAATAAAAAGTATTTTTCACACAACGCATGACCTGTGGAACTTCTTGCCAGATGATGTGAAGGTCAAGACAATAACAGGAAAGAAGTTCAAACAAGAACTAGGTAAGTTCATGGAGCATAGATCGATCAATGGCTATTAGCCAGGATGAACAGGGATGGTGTCCCAAGCCTCTGTTTGCCAGAAGCTGGGACTGAGCGACAGGGAATGGATCACTTGATGATTACCTGTTCTGTTCATTCCTTCTGGGGCACCTGACATTGGCCACTGTCGGAAGACAGGATACTGGGCAAGCTGGACCTGTGGTCTGACCCATTATGACCGTTCGTACATTCTTATACTTATCACCAATGGGTTTGAAACAGTAAAGCGCTATATAAATGAAGAGTTTTATCTTTGCTATGCAGACTGCCTACACTTCCACCAGATGTGACATGTATAATTCCAGGGCACCAGACTACCTGTAATTCCAAAGCCATCAACATAGACTTAAAACGGCAGTGTAGCACTGATGTACTACACTGCCATAATTAGGCTTGCAGCAGGATAATGATTTCCGAAGAGCTTTTATTAGAAGCCTATTTTCAAGTGCTTATAACTGGAGGAGCGGCAAAGAGTCCTGTGGCACCTTATAGACTAACAGACGTATTGGAGCATAAGCTTTTGTGGGTGAATACCCCCTTAGATGAGGATTGCCCATAGCTGTCTCCCTCCCCCACGCCGAGGAGCTCCTCTGGACTGTGGGGGAAGCCAGCTCGTTAGGTGCATTGGCATGCTGGGTTGGGAGGAGGTGCCAGGCGCGTAGCTAGTGCCAGGCCCTGTGGCAGCTCGCAGAACTGGGACCGAAAGCTTCAGGTGGGGCCCACGAGTGCAGAGGGAGCAGGCTCGGCTGGCTGCGGTCAGCCCCAATTACCTGGGTCACAGCAGAACTTGGTCGCCCCACAGCACCAAGCGCGGAGCCTGGCCTAGCCCCTCCGGCCACAGGTTGCGCCAGGAGAGCAGGGCAGACACCCGCCCTGCTGCCAGTACTGGCTGGTACTGAGGAGGGGGGTATTCTGGGCCAAGAGATGGCCGTAAGCGGCGGCCAGTCCCCCGGCAACGGCCCCGAGTTCCCGCGGGGGAGGGGGCTGCCCTACTGAGATCCAGGAAGCAGCAGGCCTCCTCTCAGGGGGCCAAGGGAAGGGGGGGCTCCGCGCGCAGTGGGAGAGAGTCGGGACTCAACGGGCGAAGGGTCACATCCGGGAACAGCGCCGAGCCCCCTCTCCCCACACTCACGTTCACCGCCGCGCGCAACGCAACAGCGGCCCTGGCTCACCAGACTCAGCACGTGACCCTGAAGCGGCTCAACGACAGGCAGCCGGACTCCCTACGACTCTCCCAATCCCGAACGCGCATGCGCAGCAGTGGGGTCGCGCCGTCTATGGGTGACGTCTGAGCTCCCACTTTCCCCCTGCTCGCGTGGAGTCCGGGCCGGTCTGACCGCTCATGAGGAGGGGGTGTTGGAGCGGGACGCGGGGGCGCGATCACTGCGAGCGCGGGAGGGATTGCAAGAGGAGCAGCTCCGCCCTGAGGCGTTGGGAAGGGGCCAGCTGCGCGCCGGGGAGACTCCAGGGGCGCTGCGGGGCGGCAGCTCCTCCTCCTCAGGCTTGTCTGTTGTGAGGGTTTCTCCCTTAGTGCTGCTCAACCTCGGGCCACAGATCCCTGTGAGCAGAGAGCTCCCTTGCACCCCCTTATATCCACCTGATGAGCTGAACCTGCCACCGAGTCACCAGCAGACATCTCCTTGCCGGTTTCCAGAACCTGCCAATAGGCTGGGCCAACAGAAGACCCCATCCAGCCGGTTACTGGCCAGCATGAACAGAAGTAAACCACCTGTTACTGTAGGAAAAAATGCCTCTAGGGTGAGTTCTGTGTTGAAGACAAGTTCAAGGGACATACTTTTTAGCTCTAGTGTAGATGTGGGCCTGAAAACTACAAGGCTCCACTCACTGGGTCATTCATTTCTCCCTCATAGTTTGTTTGTTTCTATTGTACCTACTCATCCACATCACAGATGTATGTATACACCAAGCTCCTCCACTCATTCTGTTCACAGTTGCAGTAACATAGCTCACCATGTTAAGGCAAGTTTAGCCTCAGGATATTGCCTTCCGGTAGCCAGTGTCCGCTCAGTTCCCACTCAGGAGATTTTCAGGGCAGTCACTAGAACTATGTCTACAATTTAACTGAGAGAAGAAACCACTGAAGATGCCTAGTGCTCTTGCTCCGAGCAGGAGCTTCTGAATAATTGTCATATATGAGGCACTGCATTGCAAGATGAAGTTAAAACTGACTGAACTGGTGCTGCTGCAATGCTTTTGGCTTCATGTATGGTCTGGGAAGAATCATAGAATCATAGAATATCAGGGTTGGAAGGGACCCCAGAAGGTCATCTAGTCCAACCCCCTGCTCAAAGCAGGACCAATTCCCAGTTAAATCATCCCAGCCAGGGCTTTGTCAAGCCTGACCTTAAAAACCTCTAAGGAAGGAGATTCTACCACCTCCCTAGGTAACGCATTCCAGTGTTTCACCACCCTCTTAGTGAAAAAGTTTTTCCTAATATCCAATCTAAACCTCCCCCCACTGCAACTTGAGACCATTACTCCTCGTTCTGTCATCTGCTACCATTGAGAACAGTCTAGAGCCATCCTCTTTGGAACCCCCTTTCAGGTAGTTGAAAGCAGCTATCAAATCCCCCCTCATTCTTCTCTTCTGCAGGCTAAACAATCCCAGCTCCCTCAGCCTCTCCTCATAACTCATGTGTTCCAGTCCCCTAATCATTTTTGTTGCCCTTCGCTGGACTCTCTCCAATTTATCCACATCCTTCTTGAAGTGTGGGGCCCAAAACTGGACACAGTACTCCAGATGAGGCCTCACCAATGTCGAATAGAGGGGAACGATCACGTCCCTCGATCTGCTCGCTATGCCCTTACTTATAGAAAGAAAGAAAGAAAGAAATCAATATAGGTTGCACAAGCCCAGCCAGATAAGTTATAGATAGGATGACCAGATGTCCCATTTTTATAGGGACAGTCCCATTTTTGGGACTTTTTCTTATATAGGCGCCTATTACCCCCACCGCCTGTTCTGTTTTTTCATAGTTGCTATCTGGTCACCCTAGTTATAGATCCCATCCCAAAATGCCTGGCAGAGTTGTTGGTATGGACACGAGTACAGGCATTGCAAGCTCCATGTAAAAGTTCTTGTTTTATAACTTCCATGTTCTCGTTTCAGGAAACCTATTACCTCATACTGTTGGATCATATTAAAGAAGTTCTGTATTAAAATCACAAATGAGTTAGATTCCCCATAGTTTAAATTCCAGGGTATTACTAATTAAGAGGTCTCTTTGTTTTTGGTACTGTTTCTCTCCCTCTATGTGTGAAACTTGCAAGCTGCTAATTGTGTTAGTACATTCTGAGATAGAGTCTGTTCTCAAAGTAATTCTTTGTAACAACAACTACTCACACAGAGAGAGACTCAAAGCAATACTCTGTAACAACAGAAACAGCACCCAGAGACTCCCCGCCCTTTTGTTGTATTCATCTTGCTTTGTTAACAATTGTGATTAAAATAGAGATAGAGGATGTATGTGGATGGATGCTTGGTGTGGATAATAACTGAATGATCAGGGAGGTGGCAGCCTAAGAATCCAGTGTCCATCGGCTGAAGAAGGCGTCAAGTGGAAATAACCAGAGGACCCCCGGAGGGCAGACTGGAATCCACCCAACAGCCTCAAGGATGGGAGAACCAAAGAACAAGATAACATCTGGCAGCATGGAGCACTCAGGAATGTGCTATCTGCTGATTGATTCAGCAACAGCATGATGAAGCAATTCCCACAGACTGGCATAGGAAGAAATTCCTATAAAAATGGACTCTAGAAAGTGAGAACTTTGGGGTCTGATTCTGCAAACCAACTTCCAGGAGCATCAGATGAGCATCTGACAAGGCCCTGCTCCCTCCTCATGTCCAGGCCACCTGGCCAGTGGTTTGGCATGAGCAACTCTAAGGCTGGTAACTATAATAACAACTTTGCAGAACCTGTGTGTGTGTGTGTGTGTGTGTGTATGAATGAATGTGTGAATAAATATGAAATTGAATGGAATGTTATAGCTATAACTAACTGCTTACTATGATTCTTTCTGTATTCACAATAAATGTGACATTTTGCCTTTTCCCCTTCAATAAGATCCTGCTGGTTTTTATTTTATTGGTATAACAATACCGCATATTGTGGAGATTATTTTTTTTCTTTTGGGGGAGCCTGAAGCTAAGGTGTTACATATTCTGCAATTGAAGAATGTAGAATTTTTCTTCTATCAATACAATTTTGTTTTATATACTTTATTAGAAAGGAGCTGTGGAGGCAACTAGAGAGTGCCATGTCTCTTGGCAGGGGTGTACACAGTCCATCTTGCTATTGGCCAGAATCATAGCTATGCCAGTTATGCTTCCACAGATGTGTTTCTGCTATGACTACACCTTCTTACAGAACAAGATTTACATGTCATTTTTTATTGATTTTTATACACTCTACATATCCTGTTAATTTCCAGTTCAACAGAGCAGCTAAGCAAGTACAACGGAGAAAAGTTAAGTGAAACAATTGTAAATATAATAATATTTGTTTGCTCAAAGCTTCACTCATATGTAAAAGCTCACTGGAATCTTTTCTGGCAAATACAAAGTCATGATTGCTTTTAATTTGGTTGCTTCTGATTGACCACTGAAATATCCTATAAAAGTCCTTGTGGGGAGTACTCAAGAAAAATAAAATCCATAGGTAGGACAAGAAACAGGTCATCAACCCTTCACATCTAGAATTTTAGGATGACTGCACTACCATCTCTTTCCTGTACATTTTTTGTAAGATGAGTGTGAAAATACTACCTTACAAACAGCTAAATCCAATCCGGGGAAACAAGCATGGTCAACAACAAATTCCCTCACCACACCAAAAAAATGACTGCCTATTCTCATGCACAAAACTGATTAATACTTCTTTCATTATTAAATTTTATATAGTCTCACAATGCTTGCTTAAATATATTAATACTACTTGATTCACCCAAATGGATATGTTGAGACGATAAACCAACTTTTGACTGTAGAAATTTCTGTATTTTTTTTAAAAAGGAGTACTTGTGGCACCTTAGAGACTAACAAATTTATTTGAGCATAAGCTTTCGTGAGCTACAGCTCACTTCATCGGATGCATGAAGTGAGCTGTAGCTCACGAAAGCTTATGCTCAAATAAATTTGTTAGTCTCTAAGGTGCCACAAGTACTCCTTTTCTTTTTCGAATACAGACTAACACGGCTGCTACTCTGAAACCTGTATTTTTTAAGAGAATATTTTCTTTGTCTAGATTAGTTAATTCAAATTTGAGAGACTAAATGAGAGTAGAACAAGCAGAAAGCTCATCTCTCTGTCACAACTTCTGCTTTCTTCTGGAAAAAGAACTTGTGAGCCCAATGAATTACAAATTTCTGTTCAGTTTTAGACTTGCTTTTCCATGATGATCCTTTCTTCCTTCCTACAGTTTATCTTGATTTCACAAAGCCAACAAATTGTAAAAGGACAGGAGGTACTCACCTTCCTGGTTGGAAGGCTCCTACATCATTTTTACCCCAAAAGTGAGAATTAAAATATCAGCCTTGTACCTATTCATGTTAAAAAGGGGTAATAAGGATCCTTATGAAAAATATTTAATGCACATTCGCAGAACTAACCAATTTTCTAAGTTTAATAATTCAGCTGCTTTAATTTTTTTCCAAACACTAAAAGCAATTAGATCAACACATTAGTTTCAATTGCATGTAGAATATAAATAGCTGACTTTAAGGATGAACAGTTATTTCAGTGAAATTTATATGAATATAATATCATAGAAATGTTGGCATTCCCTTCAATCTGATGGTTCAAATTTGTGACTATAAATCATAAAACCCAGACAAAATTGCATGTAAACAACTCTATTTTGCCATAATTTATGTGGCACTTAAATTGGACTGCCAAAGGAAATTCTGGCAAATTATAAAAGTATGTGAAAGAAGTTATATGAAAATTGTATTCTGCCCTTCCAAAAACATCCCATGGCTCAGAAGACTGGTAGGAACAAAAAGGGCTGAATTCCTAGAAATGGGGCAAAGATCAAGTAAAAGGAGTTGAACTTGCCAAAACAAGCACATTTAGAATATTCTTCTCTTCCAAAAACAAAAAATGCCAAAAGAGCAGGGCAACTTCAGCTTCTGCCCTTATTTAAGCACATTATCTTAAACTCTTGAATTTTGGCACATTTATATCTGTTACTTCAATTCATGTTAATCCTATCCATTCTCAGAAACTGCAGTAATGAGAGAGAGAAAATTTCTAACAAAATTTCTGATTTTTAATAATTGATACAGATTTCTATAATAGCATCATCTATTTTCTTGCCATCATACTTCAAATGCAAGTTTCATTTGAAAGGACCACAAATCGCTCATTCCTAGCAATATAATGCTTTCCTGCAGACTGAGGGTCCAATTCCAGATCCCATTACTGAATATTCAAGTTGTACTTAAGAAGAAAGCATGGTTAAGGTTTTGGACTGAGACCCAGGAGATCTGGGTTCAGTTTCTAGCTCTGCCACAGACTTCTTGTATAATCTTGAGCAAATCACTTAATCTCTCTGTTCCTCAATTCCTTATTTGTAAAGTAGGAATATTAGTATTTTCCTACCTCGCAGGGATGTTGGAAGGATAAATTAGTGATTATGAGGTAGTATGGTAATGGAGCCATATATTAGATACAGTAGATGGGTATTCCTGTGCACAAGGGCCATGTCCAAATGCAACATTAAGCTTCCTATTAAGGTGTGAAAATTGGGTTCTTCCTTGGCATGCAGAGAAGTTAAATTAAAAATATGCAGCAGTCAACATGGACTTCACCAGTGTTATTTTATTCTATTTACATTCTCTTATCTTTTCAGACACAACCTGCCTCTTCAAATCATGCTTGCCTTTGAGGAAGATGATTGGATTATTTTGTGCTCACATAGAGAGAGCTAATCAGAAAATGGCAGCATGGTGTTTTTGTGGAAATGTTGATTTATCTTTGAAATGCTAAAAATTGCAGAAAACCAAAATTTTCAGTCAAAAATGGGGGAAAAAAGTTTTGGCTAAAAATTGTTTTGACTTTCAGTTTTATGATGAAAAAATCTGTAGTGTAAACATAGCTTTAGTGTACATCTCTGTGCTTCTCCTCCCTTGCCTATATATGGAACAGCATACAATTGCTGTTGGTACAATTGCTTGCATATTAACCTTTAATATTAATGTAAACCTTAGATCTGGATTTAACTCAATATTTCATTCACAAGTTTAGCATAATTTTAGGTTACTATTATTCTAACACGGGGTGGGCAAACTTTTTGGCCCGAGGGCCACATCAGGGTATGGAAATTGTATGGCAGGCTCCAGGCTGGGACCGAGGGGTTCAGAGGACAGGAAGGAGATCAGGGCTGGGGAAGGAGGTTGGGGTACAGGGGAGGGGCGTGAGGGCTCCAGCTGGGGGTACGGGCTCTGGGGTGGGATTGAGGGGTTCGGAGGGCAGGAGGGGGATGAGAGCTGTGGCAGGAGATTGGGGTGCGGGGTGGGCTCAGGGGCACAGGCTCTGGGCAGCGCTTACCGCAAGCAGCTCCCGGAAGCATGTCCCCCCTTCGGCTCTGAAGCTTGGCCAGGCAGCTCTGCGCACTGCCCTGTTTGCAGGCTCCACCCCCTGCAGCTCCCAGATCCTTCTCAGCAGTGCTCATGACAGGCCATTTATCCCCCATTCTTATTTGTGCATTTTTTTTCTTTCCTTAGTGTAGCACTTTACATTTGTCTTTGTTGAATTTAATTTTGTTGACTATAGCCCAGGTCTTCAATCTATCAAGATCCCTCTGAATTGCAGTTCTATCCTCCAAAATATTGGCCACCCCCTGGCTTTGTGTCATCTGCAAATTTGATCAGTATACTCTCTATTCTTACATCCAGATGTTAAACAATTCTGGGCCCAGAACAGATCCCTGTGTAACCCCATTTGAGATCTCCCTCCAATTTGACATCATTCCATTAATAGTTATTCTGTTTGCAGTTATTTAGCCAATTACATATCCACTTAATGGTAATTTCGCTGAGCCTGCATTTCTCCACCTTACTTATCAGAATGTCATGTGGGACAGTGTCAAAAGCCTTGCCGAAGTCCAGATATATTATGTCCACTGCATTCCCCCTATCTACCAAACCAGTTACCCTGTCAAAGAAGGAAACCAAGCTGGCATGGCATTATTTGGTCTTAGTAAATTCATACTGGCTGCTAGTGATCACCCCTTCATCTTCCAAGTATTCACAAAATGAATGTTTTATAGATTACTAGCTTCCCAGGTATCGAAGTCAGGCTGACTGGTCTATTGTTCGCCCTGCAGATTTGAATTCCTTCAGATTGGTCAGAAGGTCTCTGATATGTTCTTTACTTATCCCAATCTGCATCCTTTCCCCCTTATTGTCTATGGCAACATCGCTAGTCATCCAGTCACATGTTTCTGAGAAGACTGAAGCAAAGTAAGCATTGACAGTTCTGCCTTCCTATCATCTTCTGTTACCAGCTCACCTTCTCCATTGAGTAGCGGACCCACACGATCCCTGATCACTCTATTTTTCTCACATATTTGAAAAACCCCTTCTTGTTGTCACTAACATTTCTTGCCCGCTGTAACTCATTCTTTGCCTAAATTATGTCTACACCACAGTTCAACACCTGCAGCTGGCCTATGTCAGCTGACTTGGGCTTACGGGGCTCAAGCTGCAAGGCTGTAAAACAGTGGAGTAGACATTTGGGCTCCAGCCAAAGCCCAAACATCTACACAAAATTAAACAGCCCAAGCACCATTAGCATGAGTCAGCTGACACAGGCCAGCTGCCGGTATTTAACTGCAGTATAGACATAGCCCAAGTCACTTTTGAAAATGAGACTTTGATGCTTTTGAAAATCCTACCCTTACTCTGATTGTTTAACATTGTCACAGGGTGAATAGGAGAGACATGTTGTTTTATATATTATTCTAAAGTCCAGGGTCCTAACCTTCAAATTTGGGGATAAAGTGTTTCCCTACCCATGCTTTGGGATGTTAACAAAATAAAAACTTTCACAAAATATGAATATTGTTAGTTGATAATTAAAGAATTGAAATAGCCGTTTCCATTTAGCAGAAGTTTGAAAAGGCAAGATTACTTCAGCCGAGAAGACTAAAATACCACAGTTAGATGACACAGATAAAAAGAAGTCACAGATAAGAAATGCTTTGGTCCTTCAGAGCATGAGGAAGGGAGATGCAGAAAATTTATTTTTGCTGCCGAGTTAGTAGAAATTTTTGGATTACAAAACTTTGCTAGGGGTGTTGATCAGACGGGTGTCTACTTTTGAAGAGGCGGGCCAATTCTGCTTGAGGATGTTTAGCCTGGATAATATGCAGTTCCCTTGAAGTGAACAACAAGTTCTTACTAGAAGTGGGACAGAACCAAAACCCCAGATCTGAATGCTCTAGAAATTTGTTTTATATATTGGTGTGGTGGAGAAAGAAGTCAGTTCAAGAGGAATTTGAGTGTATCAAGGTTCTTGAATGACTACCATGATATTAGTAGCTGAGTGCCTCCCAAATTAATAAAAAAGATAACAAACAAAACTTTCCCTTCTTTCCCTGCAGGAATAGCTGGACAGAAAGGAGATGACTGCCCCCCCTCTCCCCCCCGCCCTTCTTCTTCCCACTGTGCCTGTGTGTGTGCACTGACTGTGAAAAGAGTTATTGTGGGGAAAACTAAGTTGAAGAAGTGAAGGACGGATGCCTGGTATACGAAGATAAGGAGGCTATTCTAACATGGGTGGCTGGTGAACCGCTGGCTCGGGGAGGCTAGCCCCCAGCCCAGCCTGCCTCTGCTGCCCAGGGCCCCTCTTGCCCCCCCCTTCTCCCTCCCTCTGTCTCACTGGGGCAAAGGAAGGAAAAGTAGGGTTAAACTGGGACATTCTGAATAGCCTAATAAAAGTTGGAATCTTAAAACCTCTCCACCCTGAGACTGCCTAAGAGAATAAAGGGGTGGGGACTGGAAATTCCGCAAAGGTTCTATAGAGATACTAAGGATTAGATAAGGACTAGTGATATTTTTGGGGAAATAAATTTAAGTATTTTTGCTTTGTATAATTATTATTATAATTATTATATACATACTACACATAAATATTTTTATGTGTAGTATGTATATAGGCCATGCCCTGTTTAAAACATAATCTCTTGTGCTGCTTGTACACCTCATACTTAGTTTTAGATTTAAGGATAAACATGGTTTACCTTTTCCCCATTCAAATGTTTTTAGGTAAAGATCAGTGATTTAAAGAGGGAGGAAAACAGTCCACTGTGACTGCTCTCTAGACCTGTGGTTTCTCTTTCCAAACCACTTTCAGGAGTCTGATTTATCTTGCATACCCCAACCATGGGTGCTGACTTTTTTTTTTTTCCCTGGTGGGTTTTCCACCCCCGCTCCGCCTCAAGGCCCTGCCCTCGCTCTGCCTTTTCCATTCACCCCCTCCCCCAAGGCTCCTCCCTCGTGCCCCTGCTCACTCCTGTCTGCCTCCCCCGAATGCTTTTCGCCAGCCACGGTCCGCCACTGACCGCTCCAGGGGCCCAAACAGCTGATTAGCAGTCAGCCCTGGGGCTGGAACCACTGGCTGGTGGGTGCGTAGCACCCCCTATTTTTTTTTCAGTGGGTGCTTGAGCCCTGGAGCACCCACAGAGTCAGTGCCCATGACCCCAACTTTCACCTCACTTAAAAACTACTTGCTTACAAAATCAGACATAAAAATACAAGCGTCACAGCACATTATTACTGCAAAATTGCTTACTTTCTCATTTTGTCTGAATGAAATTTTAGTTAGTACTGACTTTGCTAATGCTTTTATGTAGCCTGTTGTAAAACTAGGCAAATATCTAGATGAGTTGATGTACTCATCCTGGAAGACCTCTGCTTTGAGACAAGTTGTTATAATAAAAGAGAACATAACCTTAGCCCTGAAATTATTTAAACAAAACTGAAATTATTTATGGCAGTATAATTAATTTTTAATTCTCTCTCTAAAACTCTAAGAGAAGATGCCTTTGCTAAAGGCAGCTTTTGGATCTGCAAGACCCAGCCAACTGATATTTTCCCCAAAAGAAGAAATATGCCATTCATCTTTGCATTTGCCTAAAAGAATAAGTTATTTCCTAGTTACTTCCTGTACTGCCATTTTTTCATAATAGGGTGTGGTGGTTCAGTGATGAGACAGAACACAGCTTTATGCAAGCAAGCAGGCTGGTCAGCGGAGATGGGCTGTTCTGCCCCCCCCGCCTTCCACCTTCACCTTTTATTATCTTTCTCCCCCTAAGCATTACACACTGCTACACAAAGGAATGTATGACGTTGATTAATATACTTATTTGCCATCCTTTATCTACTACAATCCTGGTTCTCAGGCCTTGAGCCCAGGCTAAGAAAGCCTCCCACAGTTGCTGTCCCAACAATCAAGTTCTCATGGTTCATATCTAGCCCTTGTCCTTGGATAGAGCAATGTGTGCATTGCTTCTACAGAACAGTCAGGGTGTGCCCTGCCTGCTTCCAGGTGGAATAGCTAAACATGAACTCTTCATCCCCCCGTTTTTTATTTAATGATATTTGGCCATCTCATGGTAGCCGTCAATTTGTTTTGTCATGCTATTTAACTCCCAGACAGACAAGGACATAACCTGGGGAGCTTTCTAGGGCGAAATTTTACAAAGTCTTAACAAGGAAGGAATACATTGTACACAGCAGCAGCAAAAAAATAAGCCCAATGATTACAAACACAGAATAACCAAAAAGCTCAACATCTGCAATACAATCATCTAAAAGGGGTACACTTCTTTTACTACAATTGTGACCAGCAAAGGGCAATATAAGTGTCATTCTACTAAGACAGCAAAGGGTGCCATCACTTAAATTTGCAGGAATATAATTAAAGGTGCGTGAACCGCAAGTAAAAAACCATCCTGATGGTAGGATGATATGGCCATAATTATATGAAACATTAACAGCATGGGAACAATTTAAAAGGGGTTGAGAAATTTTTTGACAGCCCAAGGGCACCTTTGTACTAGTGCAGTTGACTACACGCACACAGGTGACACTGTGAGCCCCGGCCGGGTACGGTGTGTGGAGGGATATAGCTGTGCGAGGCAGAGTATAGTTGGCCGGGCCCCAATTAGCCATGCTAGAGTACTGGGAGGAAAGATTCGCATAAGCAGAGAACAGTGTCTTATTCTCCATATCCTCAGGGTGATGACATACTGGAATAAGGCATGTACCTAACAAATCTCCGGCTGCTACAAAATTAGTAACATTTGCTATTGAAGCCAATCTTTCCCATATGTTATATGTCATTCGGGCTCGTAACGGGGGAAGCGCTTCCGAGCCAACCCCTACAGGAAATAGCAGGCACAAAAGGCACACAATCATCACAGAATTAGCAGTGATTTGGGCGAGAATCGCCACAAACAAAGTCTCAGGAGTCTCTGGCTGTTGATCTGCTGCCAGTCTTCGTTGGGCCGCGGTGACCAATGCTTTTACTGCTCCCCATGTCACGGGCCGGTTTGGGACACTACGCCTCCTCCGTTTCCGTCCCGTCGTTGTCGACTCGGGGGGCAACGCGGTCTCCTCCAAGGTCAGCTGAAACTCTGGTATGGGATTCGACAGTCCCTGGTGCCATGCCATGTTGTTTAAGTGCCGGTCGCACACACCGAGCTGGAACCCACAACGGTCCTGCAGGGAGAGACACAGCAGCATATCCCCGACCCCAAGTGATTAGAGGTACTGGGCCCAACCACTGTGGATCGGGCAGCTGACGGTAAAAGACATGCGGTCTTTCCAGTACCTCAGATTTGTGAAAATGCCGATCCGCAGGGGTCTGCTGATCTGCATTCAGTGTTAAATTATTTAAAGTAAACAAGAGGATATGCATTTGTTGTTGAATGTCTCCTAAGGTTCAGAGACGCAGCTCCCCTTGTTTTAATTGTTTATCTAGCAAGGTTTTGAGTGTGCGATTGGCACGTTCAACAATGGCTTGGCCCGTGGAATTATAAGGGATTCCGTGTTTAAGACGGACGTCCCAGCGGGCACAAAAGGTGGAGAGGGCTGCAGAGCAGTAGGCTGGGGCATTATCTGTTTTAATTTGGCAGGGGCGACCCATAACAGAAAAGCAGGCCAGCAAATGGTGAATAACTTTGTTAGTGGCTTCCCCACGTTGTGGGGTTGCCCAAAGGAAGCCTGAATAAGTATCAACGGAAACATGTAAAAACGAATAGGGGCGAAATTGTGGCACATGATTAACATCCATCTGCCACAGCTGATTCGCTGCGGTACCTCGGGGGTTAACGGCATAAGAAAAAGTAGGAGCAGCAGCAGCACAGTGGGGGCAGGAATGAACAATGGAACGTGCATGATCAGCAGGAATGTGAAACTGCCGGGCCAAAACAGAGGCAGACTGATGAAAAAAGGCATGGCTTTCAATGGGGTCAGAAAAAAGGGAATTTACCTGACCACGCAACGCGCGATCGGCGCGTGCATTGCCCTCAGTGAGTGGCCCAGGCAGAGGGGTATGACTGCGAATATGAGCAACAAAGTAAGGGAAATGACGAGTGGCAAGAAGGTGCTGCAAAGACAAAAACAGGCGAAGGAGGTCTGCATCAACCTGAGGGGTAATGAGGGCAAGGGGTAAATGATCAATTACCTGATAAACATAATGGGTATCCACAATTAAATTAAAGGGACAATCAGCAAAAAGTTGAAAGGCCAAAATAACAGCAGCTAATTCTGAGGGCAAAGGGGGATGGTGAAAAAACAATCTTTTAAATCTAACACACAAAGTTGATCGGTTTGAGGAATTAAATTTGGATTTGGTAAGCCAAATTGCAAGGGGCCCATAGGTTGGATGCATTTATTTATTTCCCTTAAATCATGTAACAGCCGCCAAGCACCCGATTTTTTCTTAATAACAAACATCGGGGTGTTCCAGGGACTAGTGGAGCTCTCCAGTCGCTGTGCTTGCAAATGCTGCTGCACAAGCGAATGAAGTGCTTTTAGCTTTTCTAGAGGGAGGGGCCACTGGTCAATCCATACGGGCTCTAAGGATTGCCATACCAAGGGTAAGGCGGAGGGCACAGTGGGTGAGGGAGGGTTTTGGGCCATCAGATGTTAATATCGAGGGTGGTGTCTAACTTTGTAAGTAAATCACAGCCCCAAATATTGAGGTGGACAGGGAGTACAAAAGGGCGGATAGTAGCAAGGGTACGGCCTCCCGGTTTAGAGACCGTGACCCAAGACAAACTTTGGCGCCCGGGTTTACTACCCCCGATCCCCCACAATTCTTTAGAAGGAACCGTAGGCCAACTAACCGGCCACTCCAGATCACGAATCACCGTAACGTCAGCTCCAGTGTCCACCAGCCCTGTAAAAGGAACATCATTTAAGAGAAGTGTTAACTGAGGTTTCGAGGGGCGGACTGACATTGTCAGAGCAACAAGTGGAGAAGACGCGCTGTGAGACGGCGAGTGAGACAACGTCGATCCAAAGCCGCCTCTGCCCCGAGTTCGATCCTCGGCAGCTGGCACCTGATAGGGGACTAAAATCAATTGTGCAATTGACCGTCCAAGCGGGAGTGACTGTGGAAGATGAGTCCACACCTGAACCTTAATAATGCCAGTGTAATCAGCATCAATGACCCCTGGAATGACAAAAAAGCCCTGTTTCCCAGCATGTGAGCGAGGGAGAACAAGACCTACAAAGCCGGCAGGGAGAGGTCCCGTCACCTGTGTAGGTATGGCACAGACCTCCCCTGGCAGCCGAAAGTCAGTGTCCTCCTGCATGATCAAATCAAGCCCTGCACTTCCAGCAGTCGCCGCCCTCATAGAGTCTACGGATTTTAAGGCAGAGGAGAGGTTGTCTGAGTGGGAAACACCCCCGTTTGGCCCTGGGTTCGTGGGGGACCCGTCGCGCGGTTTCCCGACCCGCTACGACACTGATTAGCCCAGTGATAACCTTTCCCACACTTGGGGCACTTCTTTGAGGGTCGGGCTGGTGCCTTAGATGAGCGGCACTCCCGCTGAAAATGACCCTCCTTACCACAGCGGTAACAACGCTTCCCCTCCTTCCCAGTTTTTCTCAGGGCGGCAGCCAGAACTCCAGCCTTGTGGGCTTGTGTGCCAATGTTCTGGCACGCCCGCAGCATGTCTGAGAGCTCTAAAATACCAGAGGCTTGTGCTGCCTGGAGAGCACGGCGGCAATCCTCGTTTGCATTTTCAACTGCCAATTTTAACAGGAGCTCGTGAGCTGCCTCAGTGTTATCCACCTGTCGGAGGATAGCCTCATGCAATCTGTTGGTAAAATCCAAAAAGGACTCTGAGGCACCCTGACGGATACTGACAAAGCTTTTGGTAGGCTTGCCTGAATCCGGGACCTTCTTGAAAGCATGCTGGGCACAGGTGGAAATAATGGGGAAGACGGCCTGAGGGAGTTGAGACTGCATCTCAATAGTAGCAAACGGGCCCTCCCCTGCCAAATGCTCATAAATGATTCCGTGCTCTCTATGTACCTGAGCTTGGCGTTCTGCCATCTGCCGATACTCACTAAGCCAAATAACATACTGACTGGGTGATAACATCATGCGCAGCAGCGTTTTCCAATCCTCAGGGATTAGGGAGTACCCAGTACCTATCCCTTCAACGAGACCACGCACAAAGGTGCTAGTCAGGCCAAACTCACGAATTGCTTTCTTTACCTCTCTAACCACCGAGTATGGCAAAGTGGTCCAGGTGCCCACGGGGTTGCCCTGGTCATCATTCTGCCAGGTCACCGGGCAAACTGAGACCAGATCAGCCAGCTCCTCCGCTGTAAGATCTGATCGAGCTTTCGCTGCGTGAACCATTTGTTGCACCAGCGAAAGCTTCTGAGCAGATACAGATGACCCTCCGGGGGGCCCCACGGGGGGAGGGTGATCACACACCGGCTCCGGTGGGGAAGGCCAGGGAGGCGGTGGTAATAGAGGCCCTGGGGGCGAAGCAGGGGGAGGGATGGTTGCAGGAGCGGACGGGGGTGGCGAGATCACCAGCCTCGCGAGGGAGGGTCTGTCCGAGGCGACACGCTGTATCGCATCGCGGCAGAGGTGCCAGGCATGTAAAGCCTGCACGGGTGCCCGAGGCTCTTCGTGCAATGTCTGGCCCAATCGCTCCCAGTCTGCTAGCTTAAGGCTTCCGGCTTCAGGATACCACGGGCACTGGGCACGCACCTCCTGTAGCAGGAGGGTAAGTGCTCGAGCCGGGCAGTCATGCTGAGCCTTACGCAGCAAATACTGCAGCTCATTGCGGTGTTGCACTTGCAAAGCAGAGAGGGAGCTTCCCATACTTACCACAATGAAAAATACTCACCGGGATCCACGAAGCGGATGAGTGACGCGTCTGAAACCCTTGCCGGGCGAGGGGAGTGCTGAGGGCCCCACGTTGGGCGCCAGTTGTGGCGGTTCAGTGATGAGACAGAACACAGCTTTATGCAAGCAAGCAGGCTGGTCAGCGGAGATGGGCTGTTCTGCCCCCCCGCCTTCCACCTTCTCCTTTTATTATCTTTCTCCCCCTAAGCATTACACACTGCTACACAAAGGAATGTATGACGTTGATTAATATACTTATTTGCCATCCTTTATCTACTACAATCCTGGTTCTCAGGCCTTGAGCCCAGGCTAAGAAAGCCTCCCACAGTTGCTGTCCCAACAATCAAGTTCTCATGGTTCATATCTAGCCCTTGTCCTTGGATAGAGCAATGTGTGCATTGCTTCTACAGAACAGTCAGGGTGTGCCCTGCCTGCTTCCAGGTGGAATAGCTAAACATGAACTCTTCAATAGGGTTCTATACAGTTGTCATGAAAAATTCTCTGGAGATACTCCAGGTATGGAAGTAGACTCTGAAATGCTTTCCAATGAAACAGACCCTCTCTTTTCCCAAAAAATCATGGAAGAGCTCCTCAAGGGATTCCCACAGGGAAGTCCTCCCCATTAACTACAGGAAACGGTGATGCAGCCCATAATTCTCTTTCAGTCTGAAATATATATATGGACATCAGATTCAGGTGTCAAACAGTATACAGTATCTTGCTACAACTTTCAGATTTATTTATTTTGGAATTTATGTTCATTTTGATTTGTGTTCAGTGAGCTTTGGAAATGCAGATGTATTATTTTTAATTAATCAATTACTTTCCTTGTTCCCATAACCACCTTTCCTTTTGTAAGATAATGATCTGTGGCAATTTTTTGGCTTTTGGCATAACAAAGTATCTAGATTGTTTACAACAAGGTGACTCAGGCTATGTCTATACTGCACTTTTGTTGGTAAAACTTTTGTCGGCGAGGGGTGTGAGAAAACATACCCTGACCAACAAAAGTTTTATCGACAAAAAGCACTGGTGTATACAGTGCTTTGTCAGCCAGAGACACTCTCCCATTGACAAGCTACCACGGCTTGCTGGGGGTAATTTTATTTTGCCGGCAGGAAACCTCTCTCCTGCCAGCAAAGAGTGGCTACACAGGAGACCTTTCAGCGGCATGGATATAACGGTACAGTTGTGTAGCTGTAAGGTACATAGTGTAGACATAGCCTAAGTATTCTGCTCATCAACTTGTAGTGACTTCAGCAAGGCCTTCCCTTGATTAATGAGCATTGGCCTATTCTTCAGATGAATTCACACTAGATGTTGCCCAATGGCTACAGCATGGGCATCCCAGGGAATTTATTGAAGCAATTCTGTATTTGAAGCGACTTTTCTTGGAGATCTAATTACTCTAAAAACAGGTTGTTTGAAGATAATGCTAATGATAAGGGGAAAGAGCCAATCAAAAATATAAAAGGAAATCTGTTCATGAAAATTTTCCACAAATTGAAACCGATCATTTCTCAAGTTAGGCATTATGTGAGACACTCAACACTGGGCCTACTCCTCTGACGTGAGTGGGAATTCCCATTACATTCAAAGATCTGGCTAGTGTGTGACACTAGCTTGCCCAGGTGTACAAGTGGGGGACAGTTTACAAAGAGCATCTCCCCATTCTATGCTCTTCTGATTACTCCCTGTTACTGTCCTCTGGGACACCAGCCATCCCAAAAGAGGTTGGGAGGCACAGTGCTCTGGACTGAATAACAACAAAAAATGCTGCACATTTTGAAAGTGTGAAGTATCCCCACTCACCCTGGTCACCAGGCAGGTACATCAATATAATATTTTTGTCTGAAAACTGAAAGCAAGTTTTGATGCCACACTGGATGGCTACAGAGAACTGAAATATGTAGCAAAATACTTGGTATGCAAATACAAATTCAACTACCTTCTCTATGTTGATGATTCACAGATATACCTGTACTCCAGACATGTTGCTTTCTGTCCAAACTAAAACTTTGGCCAGTCTCTTTGACATCTCCTTGTGAATATCTAACCTTTAGCTCAAGCTAAACATGGCTAAAAGAGAGATTCTAATCTTCCTCCCCAAGCTCTCCCCACTACCTCCTTTCTCAATCACTGTGGACAACACCACCATTTTGCTTGTTGCTCAGGCTGTAACCTGGGCATCATCTTCGACTCAGTCTCTCTTTGGGTTTTCACATCCAGACTGTATCTAATCTTGCTGATTCTTTCTGCATAATATCTCTAAGATACAGCCTTTCCTATCCATCCACACAGCTATAACTCTTGTCCAAGCTCTCATCATCTCATATCTTGATAACTGCAACATCCTTCTCTCTGGCCTTGACAAATGCAATCTTGCCCCACTTATATGCATTCAGAATGCTGCTGCAGAGATCATTTTCCTGGCTAGTCGCTTTGATCATGTCACCCCTCTCTTTGAGTTCCTCCATTGACTCTCTATTACATTAAACATAAGCTGCTTGTGTTCATTTTCAAGGACCTTCACAGTCAGTCCCCACCCTACCGGTCACCTCTCATTCACTGTTGAGTGGGTGATGCTCATCTCCAATCAGCCCATGGTGCCAGATTTCATTGCCACTTGTTAAATTTTCAAAAAAGCGCCTTCATGCTTTCTCCCTTGATTCCCTGCATGCTTGGAAGGAGCTCTCCATAAACATCCACAAAGCTATCTCATTATGCACTTTCAAATCTCTCCTCAAAACTCTCCTTTTCTGTGATGCCTACAAAAATCTTGATAAGGGTTAGGCTGTGTGTGCTTAACATCCATCAGTAGGTCTGAGAGTGTGTGTATCAATGGAAAATAGCCCCCTAAGTGATTTTGCAATCTCCAGACTCATTTGCAGGAGGAAAAGAGACTAAAACCAAAATATCAGCATACCAAGTGAAAGAAAACAGCAAGAAATGAGAAGCACAAGTCCATGTGCATTTTAGAATGACAATAAATTTAAAATAATAAACAATAAATAAACATGGCTTATTTAATTTTTGAAAGGTAATCCCATTCACAACTGAATTAACAAAGACATATCCCTATGAAGACAACTTTCATTATGTAAATCAGTGCACTGATGTCTTTTTGAGTTTGCAGCCAAACAATAGCACCATCAAAGGTGTGAAGTTCCCTGATCATCTAAATAAACTGATAACGTCAAAGCCTAGTTGTGACAATCTAAATGTCATCACTATTAAACAAATAGCCAAAATGCAAACAAACCATCTTAAATCATTAAAATGTAATCATAAGAGACAGCTGGGTCCAATATTAATTTAGACTGTGGGGACTCATAATAGGGAAAAATATGAAACTTTCACATAAGCAAAATTAAACTGCTGAATGTGCCAGCCAGAGCTGTACACAGAGAACATGTGAAACGTGTTTTGTGCATATCCAGTTGTAACAAATGCTTATAGAAGGCTTTCACTAATTATATGGATATTGAATGCAACACAGTGATAACAACAAATTTAACCATCATCTTTACCCTCCCTCTATCTTATATACAAAATACTTTTCATGTAAACAACTGAGGCTATGGGATAGCCACCTGTTGCTAAAAAGTGAAGTAGCTGAATTGGATAGGTAGTTGGAAAGTCATATAAGATTCAGCAGAAATAGCTATGAAATAGAGATTCAAATCACCCTTTTGCAGAATGCCAGCACAAGGTTTATGCACCACAAATCTAATTTAAGCCCAATTAAGATCAAGTAGAATTTAAATGGTGCAAATACTTTAGGCTGGCTCTCTGCACAGGGGTGAATTTCATCCCAAAGCTCTAAAGCAAGCACACACATACATAAGTAATCCCAGTGGGACTACTCATGGGCAGAAGGATACGTACATAAACATTTGCAGGATTAGGCTGTAAATGTGTAATATGAGGGGTTTTTTAGTTAGACTTGTGGTTGTAAATTATTACTCTATGTATGTCTCCTATATATTTTACTTGACGTTTATTGGTGGCATTTTGAGATATGGACTGGTAGTTTGCAGGGCAGAATATGTTACTGGCAGGAGTAGGCAGCTATTAAAAAAAAAAAAAAAAAGGTGGTCCAGTGATTTGGGCACTAGTATAGGAGTTGGGAGATGTAAGTACAATTCCTTGCTCTGCCACAGACTTCCAGTTTCACAAATGTGGATAAGAACACACTTCACTATCTCACAATGGTGTTGTGAGGATAAATACGGTCAAGATTGTAAGGCGCTTGGATTCTACAGCACTGAAAAACATGTAAGTACCTCAGATGGATAGTAACTATAGGCTGCACCCCGGGGAGCTGGATTATTTTTAAGAACATAAGAATGGCCATACTGGGTCAGATCAATAGTCCATCTAGACCAATATCCTTTTCTTCCAGCAGTGGCTGGTCCCAGATGCTTCAGTGGGAGCAAACAAAACAAGGCATTTCATGAAGTGATCCACCCTGACCTGGGTGGGCAAGGAGATAATGAGGAGTCACACAAAGCCCCTTGCATGGGTAGGAGAATGGATACCCTGGCATGGAGA